TCAGGAAAGCTAAGAGGCCGGGTTATCTTGAAGTAAAGTGTCTCTTATGTCAAGGAACATCTAAGAAGGGCTGAGCAGGATGATTTCCCGTGGTTCACAAGACACAGGTTCCGGAAGGATCTCATCACATGCTTGGTTCCTAGTACCCAAGAGACCTTCCCATGTTATTCAGCTTTCAGTGAAATGTCACAAGGAGGGGAGAATTCTGCCGCTTCCTGCTCCATGCCAAGCTGTTTTCCTGAGTCATTCTCTGTCCCTTTCCTCCAGGCAGCTCCCCTCCCTCGCCCACATTAACTCCTTCAGAACCAGACTTATTTTTTGGGGGATGGGAGTGGGAGGCAGAGGGTCACTGGTGGGCCAATCCAGTAGAATCGCAGGTCCTGCGACCTCTTGGAAAGGTCTTTCAAATCAAGAGTGAACCATTTTTCTGGTGATTGTCTACAGTGACTGTCATCATTCCAAGTTTATAGATGAGCTGCGTTTAGCAATACATCCTCGTCAGAATTAAGTCATTAAAGAAGAAAAAAAACACTTGGACTCAGCTTTCTGGAAAAGGTCCTCAAGGCGGCTTTGTTACCGTGGCTACAGCAAGGTCCACACCCACCATTCCATCCCCACCAGTGGTCTAGCCCCCACTGGAGTGGGGAGGCTTTTAAGTCACCATGCTGACCTGCTGTCTCATACCTCTGAAGGACGCTGAGTCCAGCCAGCATTTCCCAGTTTTTCTCCCTGAGAGCCTTCATTGAAAGCCGCTGCTGTTGATAGATGTGTCTGTTGTTCGGAACCTATTAAATTTCTCCTCCTTGGATACAGCCGCCGAACTCGCACGAACTCTGGAGGGAGTCAGTGTGTTGTAACCAGGAACAGAATTGGGGTTTTTATGTTTTGCTGAGACTAGAAGGGTTGGAATCTTTAGGTGCTGCCAGCCTTGGGTGAGACCCTTCCTCTCGCCGAGCAGGACCCCAGTTCTCTTTTGTTTCCCGGTGGCCTGGGCAGAACTCCCTCCCCAGCTCTCAATTACTTATGAGTGTATTCATTTCTAGTGATTTTTTTCCCTCTGTCCCATGAATTAAAGAATTTTAAAGTTAAAAGGGATGTCTTAAGATCCTCTGGCCCTGTAGTTTTTAATTTTTAGAGTTGATGACACCTTTGAGAAGGTGAAGTAGGCGATGGCCCCTCTTCCCAGGAAGTTGCATCCACGCACAGAAACCGTGGCATGTGGATCGTGGGTCCCTGAAGCACATTCATGGACTCCAGGTAAGAACTTCGGGTCTGGTTCCTTTCTCTGCCTCTCTTCCCATTTTACAGATGTGGCCTTGAGGCCCTGAGAAGTAGGGAGACCTCCCTGGGGTCGTCTCCCATTTGGCTCTGTCTTCATTCTCTCGCCTCGCCTCCATGCTTGCCTTCTGTGTCCTTAGGCCTGACCAACCCATAGGTGGCGGTGAGGAAGTGGAGGAGATTGGCCCCCCAGTGTGGAACAGGATTCTCCGGGCTTGAGAACTCAACTCCACCCCACAAACACACACCCTAGAGCATCTCAAGCCAGCGAGCATCCGAATCCTCTGGAGGGCTTGTCAGACCACAGGTCGCGGGGCTCTCCTCTGGAGCTTCTGATTCTGTAGATCTGACGTGGAGCCTGAGCAAGTGTATTTCTAGCAAATTCCTAGGTGGTGCTGCTGCTGCTGCTAGTGTGGGGACTGCACTTTGGGAACCATCGTCTCGGGGGATCTCAACTGCAGGTGGATAGCTTAGACTGCCCAAGGAGGATCGGGTGCCCTTTCTGGCCCCATGGGAGACTAGGTGTGGGCTGGGCCACGTTCATCCGCGTTGCGCCATGTTCCAGCTCAGTGGTTCTTCAGGAGGCTAGTACCACTCCTCTGGGAGTGTTTGGGAAATATGTGGGACGCTTGTTGTTGTCACACTGTTTGGGAGGACTGATGGCATTGAGTGGGAGGGTGCCGAGGTTGTCCTTGCACTGGGGAGGAGCTGTCCTCTCCAAAATCCATAGTGCTCTGTTGAGAAACATCGAAACGCATGACTTGTTTTTTCCCGAACGTGCCCCTAACTTCCCCTTGGCATGTCTTTGCTCATGTACTTTGTTATTCCAAAATCTACCCACATACTGAGCAAAATATACAAAATCAAAACCTTTCCCCAGGGCCGGCCCCATGCCTTAGCGGTTAAGTGCGCACGCTCTGCTGCTGGTGGCCCGGGTTCAGATCCTGGGTGGGCACAGACGCACCGCCTCTCTGGCCATGCTGAGGCCGTGTCCCATGTACGGCAACTAGAAGGGTGTGCAGCTATGACATACAACTATCTACTGGGGCTTTGGGGGGCAGGGGGACAAACCTTTGCCCAATTGCTTTGAATTTTTTCCCGACCAGGATGCCATTTCTTCTGGGACTCATCTCCTTGGAGCCCTCAAAACACGGCTTTTTTTTTTTTTAAAAATAATTTTATTTATTTATTTATTTTTCCCCCAAAGCCCCAGTAGATAGTTGTATGTCATAGTTGCACATCCTTCTAGTTTCTGTATGTGGGATGTGGCCTCAACATGGCCGGAGAAGCGGTGCATCAGTTGCGCGCCTGGGATCCGAACCCGGGCCGCCAGCAGCGGAGCGCGCGCACTTAACCGCTAAGCCACGGGGCCGGCCCAAAACACCGTTCTTAAACACCCATATTCTGATTCTGAGCAGAGTTATTTGGGTTTGTCAGATCCATGTAGAACAAATCTCAAAACTCCTTCCTGCAGTCAAAGCCCATGGTGATCAGCTGTCCGTCTGGTGACGTTTTTTTATCCTGAATCAGGTCTCCCTCATTTGCTCATTACTGGCTTTGGTTTGCACCTGCTGCTTTTTTATGTGAAACGGAACCTCTTAAACACCTCGTTTAAAAATTTTCTTTATTTTGATAAAGTAGTCCAGGCACATCATAAAGAAAGTCCACAGGGGTACATAGTACAAACTAGTCCCCGCCCCCAGGCTCTCCTCCCTGAGGCTACCACCAGTCCCCATTTAGAGCTCTACCGTGCTTTTGTGCTCATCGAGGAATATTTTAGGCTTATGTAAACATGGAGATATATATATATATATATATATATATATAAAAACCATCTTTTTTAGGGTATGTATACTGGTCTGTTAATGGTGCTAGACACGCGTTGCTTTTTTAACCTGATGCAGAAGCTTGGAGATCGTCAGTTCACGTGGAGGTGCCTCCTTGTTTTTAATGGCTGCAGAATATTCCACAGGATGGCTGTTGTGTGTTATTAGATGCGTCCTCTTATCTGTGGACATGTAAGTCATTCCAGGTCTTAGATGTAACATGCAGGCCGCAGGGGAATCATCTGCCGTGTGCTTTGCTCCCTTGTGACCCTGTGTTTAGAATGTGTTTCTAGGAGGAGATTCTGGGGTTAGAGACTATGTGGAGAAAGGGAGTTTTCACATATGCTGGCGGAGTGGGGTGAGCATCCTCGAGAGAACGAGAGGAGATTTTCCCTGGGGAACGCACCAGTCCCATGCTGCACTTTTCTCTAGTGGGTTTGCTCACTAACTAGCTGTTGTGTGCCTCTGGTCCAACCCTTTGGGCTCTCTGGGCCTCTGTTTTGATGGCTGTGGGATGATCCCCCGAACTCTGGGGTCTGCTCTCCCTCAAGGTGCCTGTGGTTAGCATTTAATTTCCTCTCGGGGCTGTGTCAGGATTTTCCTGAAGCCCGCTTGGTGAGACTGGAGAGTTCCATCGTGAGGATTGGATTTTGCAAAAGCAGCTCGTTGTCTTCCTTTGTGAGCCTGCTGGAAGATGCTCTGCCTTTCAGTCAAGTCATCCACTCGGAGGCCTTGCCTGTGGCCCTGTTGGACCCTGTTAACCTGCCCCAGCGGCTCTTGTCCAGACACGGAAGACGGTGACACACGGTGCAGCCTGCATGCTGGGACTTGCCCGAGAGTTAAAACTGGAGGAGGAACGTCGTCAGGCTATCTTTGGGGGATAGTTATCTTTCCGAGTTCCACGTCCCATCCCATCACCTGTGCTCTCTCCTCTTCTGTCCTGGTAGCTTTTGTTTCTCAAGATGTAAGTGCGCCAGGCTGTGCCAATACATCCCTAAGCTAACAGGGCGGCCATCGGGCGTGGAATGGAACCCAGTCCCTGCAGGTGAAGATTGGATGGTGGTGGAAGCGGATATGTATTTAAATGAGATGCTGGGAGAATTAAAATAGAAAGGCGTGGATTGGCAAGGGTGGGGTTGGCGTTTTACACATGAGAATCAGTGAGAATGTAATTTGTGTGGATCTCTTTGAAGGAGAGTCACAAACACGATGCCTACTGGTGACTGGGCCGTGAGAACTTTCTGGTGGCTGGGTATATTCTTTTTACATGGTCACACTTGGTTAGCCTGATAAACATGAATAAATGTTATTGTCTTCCACAAAGAAGTATGTTTGCCTTTGTTTTCTTGAAGTGGCCTTCTTGGTCTGTCTTTCATGGTTTCCTGCTTTTGCCATCAGGCAGAGGTGTGGAGAAGAACTGTTTCTTTGGGATAAGGACAGTATCGGTGTCTGTGTGACAACTCATGGCAGTTGGGTCATGGCCTCATCAGCTGGGACACAGTAGGGAAGGGTGGGGATTGTGGCAAAATGGAGGGCACATTCCCGTCTAAATCTGGCTTGCTGGTATTCAGATCTATCTGGTGCCATAAGGCTCTGCAGGCCCTGATCTATTTTTTTAAGAGAAGCCAAAAATCTAGGGTATTATGTGAAGTCTCTCGATTTTTATATTTTGGCAGTGAATTAAAATTTTTATAAAAATGTTATGTAGGCCAAAGAAAGACTGTCTGGTTTCTGAGACAGACACAAGAGAGGGGGTAAGTGTATTCTAGGAGGAGGAACACTAAAATGGCATTGGGTTTGGGGACAGAGTGTGTCGTGTCCCACATGCCCCCCTCCCTGTGGGGCCTAGGCCTGCCTGCCTGCTTTAAAATATGTGGTCCTGTGTGTCTCTTTCAGATCCTGGCTCCACAGAGAGAACAGCCCAGAAAAGAAAGTTCCCCAGCCCTCCGCATTCTTCCAATGGTCACTCGCCCCAGGACACGTCAACGAGCCCCATTAAAAAGAAAAAGAAACCCGGCTTACTGAACAATAGCAATAAGGAGCAGGTAAAGGGCCACTGGGCATGTCCACACCAGTGGGACAAAGGCTGTAGTGAGAAGCACCACAGCTACCGGGTTTTTCTAACAGCCCGTGTTCTTGGCATTTAGCAAGCTGCCTTTCTCCCATTGTCATTTACATAGGACAAAAACGGCAGCTCAAAACGGACCTGTGTAGGAATTTCCAGTGGGTTTTCTGATCTGTTTTGGGGACCGGGCAGTGACCCAGATGAGATGAAGATATAGTGCGTTAGGGTTTCGGGCTTTTCCTTGGATTTCTGTGTTCGTGCTTCAGGACATTTTCCCACGTGGCCTGAGGATTTTTCCTCCTAGGCTGTGCCAGTAGGATGGTTCCGAGCTCTGCCTGGAGGCGGTTTCATGGCTGAGGCAAGCTCCCTTCTGGTCTCAGTTTTCTCATCTGTAAAATAATGGGTTTAGGTCTGTGGGAGAGGCAGCCGATCTCCCTACCCATTGCCCACGGTCGGCTTTGGTGATTGGTCACCGTGCCTTCTCATTGCTCATCAACCCGGGGCAGCAGACCCCACCCTCCATGGGCAGCTAGGACCAATCAGCTAGATGTGAAAATCTGTTTGCTATGTTGGATCTTGTCTAAGGAACCTTCTAGCTTTAAAATTCTCTGCCACAGGCTTGATATGCTTCTGATTTAAAAAATGAGAGATGCTCTAGGGGACCATGTGGTCAAATCTCCCAGCGCTGGAGGAGACAGGATGCCCCAGTGGTTCGAGTCCAGGGCAGCAGGGACTCCTTGGGATGTATTCATCTATTTTGTGCGTTATGGAGAGCCGGAGTGGGCCCTGGGGATTCGGGTTGAATAAAACCAGATTGCTGCTTTCACGGAAAGAAACCTAGCAACGGTTAAATGCCTAGGACCGAGAGAGGGGCACGTTTCTGCGCGCTAATCTATTTTCATTCTCAAAATTATATAGGGAAATGCCAGCTCTGCTTTTGCTGTGTGGCTGTGGGCAAGTTAACTGCTTGGTGCCTAGTATTCTCATCTACTGAAATGGGAATAATGATACTACCACTAGTTTCTCTGGGTTGTTGTGAAGATGAATTGAGCTAAATGACATAAATACTACTACTAATAAAAGTTAAGCCAGGCTCTATACTGAGTGGAATAATCACACAAACTGTATGTGAAATAATTAACAGCTTTAGAAATGTTCTAGACCTGAGCCATTCAGTAGGATAGCCACAAGCCACATGTGGCCATTGAGTGCTTGCAAATGGCAAATGTGACTGAGGAACTGAATTTTTAAATTTAATTTAATTTAAATTTAAGTGGTTACCTGTGCCCTTGCCACTGTGTTGGACAGAGCAGGTCTAATGGGTTGGGAATCCCCTTATAGGAGAAGGAACTGGTGGGTCCTAAATAAATTTCTGGGGCGTAATTGCAATTTGAGAAACACGTAATGGTGTTGGTGATAATAATAACTCAAAGCAGTCCTTCCAGTGTGTCACGTCTTATTGTAAACATTTTTCTGTGTTAATCTTAATGTTTGTAAGAACTCCATGAGGAAGGGGGTTTCTCCATTTTACAGATGAAAGCACAGAGGTTCAGAGAGGTTAAGGTGCCTTCTCAAGGCTGCAGAGTGAGTGAGAAGCTGCATTTGAGCTTAAGTCTGCTTGTCTGGCTTGGTGCCAGTGACAACCCACCTCTGTCACCAGGAGCCATCCAATAGCTGTTGGGATTGAAGACTAAGCAAGAAACATGAAGGCCACAGATAATCCCCAAACCTTAATTTAGCCAGTTAATTCACCTTCCTGGGCAAACCCTGTCTTCCCAGTTACCAGTGAAGCCGTGAAGCAGATACTGTTCCCTCTGTGCAGAAAGTCTTCTCTTTTGCCTCCTCCCTGTGTGTGCACGCATGCACGCACACTTTGTGAGTTCCTGTCTGTCCTTTAAGAATTGGCTCGCATCTGTTTCTGGAAGCTGATCAACTTGGGCAGTCCATGCATTTTCTTCTCTCCCTTCCCATCCATGTGTTAATACCATTTCCGTAACACTTAAGCCTCATGACCACAATGATGTGTTTGTAAATCTGTGTCCCTCTCTGGACTAGCAGCCTCAGAAAAATGGCCAGTGTCTGGCGGCTGCTGTTGCCCCAGAGTTTGACACAGGGTGGGAGCTCATGAATGTGGACCGCACTCTAGGTGTGGAACACAGCAGAGCACGGGTGACTGGACACGGGTGTGATTATGCTCCCGAGTAATCAGTCATCTTCAGTATTGATAGAAGAGTTTACCAGACTGGGGCACTGGAGGGAACGTGTTCCAGACCTGAGACCTGGCTCTTTCTAGCCCCACCACATCTGGGGAACTTGCTGTGTGACCTTGTCCATTGCTGTCTCGTCTCTGAGCCTCAGTTACTTTGTAAAATAGGGGTTTAAACTAGGAACATTATGAGGTTGATTGTAGGTTTGTTTTTCAGATCTAAAACTCCGTGGGGCTGAACAGCCAGGAGTTGGCAAAGGAGAAATAGCCTTGACTGTAAAGAAAAGAAATTTGCTGACCCTTGACCCCGTAATTCATTCTAGCGTGTAATGTTTGCAGAATAGGGGCAACCTCCCTCATGCACCAACTGCTTTCCTAAGAGGAACTTAAATCCCCTTAAAATGCTTCTGGATACTTTCTTTTCCTCTTTTCTTTCTTTTAGAATTATAGAATTAAAAAATTATGGAATTAAAAGCAAATTGTAGGTCTGCAAATGCTGGGTTTTACCATATAATTTCTATTAGTCACCAACATTTGAAGATCGTGAGACTTCAAATAACTCGTATTTCTGGGTTCTCATAAAAACTCAAAAATCCAACAACATCTGGAGCGGGGTAGGTCCTGCCCCTTTAGACGCGGGGCCCGTGTGCTCCAGTTTTCTGCACTCCCCACCCCTCCCTATAGTGTCATACCCTGCCAGCTTCGCTCCTTCTGCCTCTGGCTCACTTAGGCATTCGAGTTCTTTTGATTTTTGGCATATATCAAGATTCTTCACCTCCTTCCTCTTTTTCTTCACTCTAGTTTCTCTTTTGCCTTCCAGTGTTCTAAAAAGAAAGCCATTCTGCCCTTATAAAAACAAAAAAACTATATTTTTCCATTTTTGGTAGAGACCTTTTATTACCAAGTGGAAATATGGGTTGAGTTTTAAGGTTGAGACCCTGTTTCATCCATTTATATTGGGAATTCAATACTTTTTGGAGAGTTTTAAGAAGCTCTTTTAAACATACTTTATTGTTAGGGGCAAAAGTATTCTGAGATTTGTAATTAATGTTTAAAGCCTTTTGGTCATGGTTTCACCCCTTAGGAAAGGTTTGAAAACATGTTGGTGCTTTTTCTTGGGAGGGTGGGGGGACATCCCAAAGCCTGGAAGGATGCTCCTGGCTTTTAGTGGAGGAGGGTCAGGTTTGCCAAATGCTATGCAGTAGGTGGGGCAAGATATATCTTGTCCCCAAATGACGTTAGGTCTTTTACTGAAAAATGCCACTCTCATCTTTAGTTCTTGGGGTATTTGAGTTTGAAGAGTCTTTTTGGAAGATTTTCTTGGGGTATTTGAGTTTGAAGAGTCTTTTTGGAAGATTTTCTTTTTTTTTTAACTCATCAAAGGATTGAGAAATGATCTGCTAACAGATTTATACAAAATCGCCTTAGGTATACCTTTGATTAAATATGGCACAGAAATCATGGGGCCCCTCCTCACCTCCTCCGAGTACAGAGTGTATACATATCATAAATGGGTGGGCTAGGACTCATTTTGTGGGGCCCATGCATTGTCTTGAGAACTGGGATATTTCACAGAAGTCCTGTGTTGGAGGGGGCGGTGTGTTGACAGTTGAGACAGTTCAGGGGACAGCGGGCTGGCCGGCATCTCCCTGAGATCAGGCAGCATGGGTAGCATGTGCCCATCCAGCTGCCTTGGTCACTGGAGCTGAGTGGGGCTGCCCCTTAAGACGCGCATGAAGTCCACCCCTGCTGCTGTCTCGCCAGCGCCGAGGCTGAATGCCAGTCCTCACACGCCAGGGCCAGGCAGTTTTTCTTAGAGACGTGTTTTTCAGGACGCATGGTTTTATCAAATGCAGGAGAGCAAAAGCTGGAGCAAGATCCGTTTTTATTCCTGTACGTGACCTACGTGGCCCTGTAGGGAATTTGAGTTTGTGGTTCCCCCATCCCCAACGCGTGGACCCTGTGCTCACGCACGGCCAGAGCACTCATTCTCTGATTTACGCAGACCAGGTGTTAGCAAACTACAACGTGTGGGCCAGATGTGCCCCGGAGCCTGTTGTTGTAAATAAAGTTTTATTGGCACACAGCCACGTTAATTCATTTACATATCGTCTATGTTTCCTTTGTGCCACGGTGGCGGGGCTGAGTCGTTACAACAGAGACCACATGACTGACACGCAAAGCTTCAGCTATTGACTGTCTTCACAGAACACTTTATAAGAAAACGTTCACCAGCTTCTGGTGTAGACTGAGGTATTCCAGAAGTGAATAAACAAGCCTGTCTCTTTTCTTGTTAAGACAGCCTGTGGAGGAAGCAGGGAAATAAGAACGTTTGCTCACGTAGGCTGCAATTATCCTGTAATAACACAGATTGCAACCTGTTCGCCCTACTAGCCGGCTGCTAGCACACCTTATACATGTGGGGGAGAAAAATCATAACTCATTTTACCTGAAATGATTTGCTTTTTCTTTTTTAAATGTTCTGTATTTACCAAATGATGTTTTTGGAGCAGGAAACACTTACAAGCAGATAAGGCAGGTGTCTGATTGACAAGGTGATTACCAGGCAGCTGGTTCTCAGCGACAACTTGCTGCTTCAGGAAAGGAGGAAATCTGAAAAGAGTATGGAGAAGCCTGACACTCACCCTCATGATCTTCCCAGGGACACCCACCCCCAGCCAGGTGTGGGGTGGGGGCAGGACGTAGGGGAAGCTTAACTTCTGAAGTGGTGGTACCCCAGCCTCGACTAGATAGAAAGGACTTGGCTTGCCGGCTAGGGAGATGAGCTGTCATACTCGATTCTTACGGTTTCGTTTACATCTTAACGACTCTTCCTGTCCTGTTATTAATTTACTGAAAGGAAGTCAGGCACTGAAATATGGCCATCCTGCAAAAGCCATGAAACCATCCTGGAAGACCCTACCAGGTTAGAAATAGTTCTGCTTACTTGATACGTGGATTTTCTCTTCCTCCTCTTTGCGCCCCCCTCCTGCTCCCTCTTCCTCCTCAAAGCCTCCCTCCCTGCAAAGAAACTCAGCCATCTTCCTAGGCAGATAGCAGACCTGAGGGCAGTTTTGCCCCCCCAAGGGACATTTGGCAATATCTGGGGACACTTTTGGTTGTCACAATTTTGTGCATGGGAGGTGCTACCAGCCTCTAGCCAAAGATGCTGCTGCACATCCTACAGTGCACAGGACAGCTCCCACAACAAGGAATTTTCTGGCCCAAACGTCACCAGTGCTGAGGTTGAGAACCCTGCTTTAAATGCTGGTCTCTTTTTACGTCCCCTTCCATTATGTTTCTAGCCGTCTTCCTAATTTTCAGATTTTTTTCCCTCCAGATTTTTGCATTAAGCAGAAGTTATTTTGAACTTCAGAGAATGTTCTCTGAGGGGGTCACTTAATCATCAGAATCTCTTCTGCGTCCAGCAGCATCTTATGGGGCACAGGGATGTGAGAAAGGGCTGGGAGACCCAGGTTTGAGGCCTGGTTCTGGGCCTGGGGGTCAGATAAGTCTTTTTAACCTAGTTTCTTTATCTGTCAAGTAAGATGAGGAGTATCTACCCTGAGTACCTCTCCAGGTGGTTGTGAGGATAAGATGAAGATGAAGTGTATAACAGTATGTTGGAAATTGTAACATGGAAAGAATATTTTAACAATGATGTCATTCTCTGGAAACCAGGCAGGGTGCTCTATCTTAAACGTTGAACTGAAACAGGGAAACAACTGGGCTCAAGAATTATTACAACAGAGACCACATGACTGACACACAAAGTTGTTTTCTTAGTAGAAGTGAGAGTGGGGAGGCTTAGAAGGATTGGTTAACAAAGATCTGCCAAATAAGCATCTGTGGGGCTCTTAATCAAGGAGCGTAGAAATAGCAGGCATTTTGAGAACATTAAAACTTCATAATAAAAACCAGGAACGAGACATGGGCGCCTGCAGTCTTGGCCACTCTTTCCCCTTATGCTGGGGGTCCTAGCCATTAAAATAAGGAAAAAAGAAAAGTGATGTAAAAATATTAGACATGAACAGACGAAGCTGATGTTACTTAGAGATAATAAGATTTTTAATCTAAACTATTAGAACTGTTTATATATGAGGTCAATATTAAAAATCTGACAGCATTTCTATGTACCAACAATAACTGTTTAGAAAATATAATAGAAAATGATCCCATTCGTAATATCAACAAAAATTACTCAGTCTCTAACCAATATATGAGATCTTTTTGGAGGAAATTGTAATGTTTTACTGAAGGACAGGAGAAAAACCTTGTTATACAAGGAACTTTATTCAAAGATAGATCTTTTGGTTGTGGCTAAGTTGTTATCCACAGAATTGAGGCTCCAAGTGGGTTGAGTAGCCTTCTCAAGGTCACACAGCCAGTTACCAGGTCATTTTTTACTTTCTCGTACTTCCTAAACAGGATTTCTTATTGGTTCCTGATAGACATTTTCCTAATGAGTTTCTTCCGAGTGATTTTATGTGTTTGGAGTGTGGCTTTGCTGGATTCTACAGAGTATCGTTAGGGAAACATTTCTTCCGATATTTTAGGACATGAAGGGGTCTGACTCCCATGAATTGGCCACCCATCGAATCTTTCTGCCATTGTTGGTTCTAAATAGGAGATGTGGCTCCTCTGCAAATACGAAGACCTACTTTGTTCAAGAATCATGGCTTTAGGAAGCCTCTTGTTGGCTTATAAGTACTTTATGCATTGGGGATAGGCTTAAAAATGGATGATCATTTTTTGGTGACTCAAATCCATTGATCTATTCTCCACATGCCTGTTGTTGAAAGAATCCCAGGGCAAGTTGCCATACTTTTGTTGGTTTTGTACATTTAGACTTCCATATGCTGGGCTCTTAACTGTATTAGCAGTATTAGTAATGGTGGCACTGTGTTGAATGCATACATTATATCATCCTATTTAATCCCAACCACAAAACCACAAAGTTAGGTGTTATCACACCCATTTTACAGATGAGAAAATTGAAGCTGAGAGGTTAAGAGACTTGCCCAGGGTCCTGCAGCTGGTGGAGCTAAGACTTGAACCCACGTATACCTGGGTTGTAGCCATTGTGCTCTTCTGCCAGAGCTGCCTGTTAACTCTTAGACACCAGTTTTTCAATCCGTGGCCTCTTAAAATAGAAGAAAGAAAAATATCTTAATATCTGACAACCTGCAAACTCTGTAATTTAGTAGAGTAACCCAAGATGGCTTTGTAACGAATGCGTGAAATGCTATAATTTTATTTTGTTGTTACTGATGTATTTGTTCAAATTCCTTTTGAGAATGCACATTTGTTTTGAAACCAAACCTGTCTTTCTTGCCTACATTTCAGTCAGAACTAAGACATGGTCCGTTTTACTATATGAAGCAGCCACTCACCACAGACCCTGTTGCTGTTGTACCGCAGGATGGACGAAATGATTTCTACTGCTGGGTTTGTCACCGGGAAGGCCAAGTCCTTTGCTGTGAGCTCTGTCCCCGGGTTTATCACGCTAAGTGTCTGAGACTGACATCGGAACCAGAGGGGGACTGGTTTTGTCCTGAATGTGAGGTTAGTCCTTCATGAATGAATGCACTATTTGCCTTGTTTCCTCTCCTTTCTCTTCCTTTTATTTTTAATTTTTCAAATAATCCTGATATAGGAAAAAGAGAAATTTCTTGCCTTCGACCTGCTTTATCCTGGTCACCCCCTTTTGGACTAGCATTCCGCACTGTAGCTCTTGGAAAGACAATCACACTGAATATTGTTTTCGGTTCTTCGTGGGTCTTTGGATTGCTTTGAGATCTGCAATCTTCTGTGATTCTCCTGTGATGAACATTTCAGAAGTTACCTTATGAACCTTTAATAGTACACATATTTTGAAAAGATCTCATGCTGTTTTTCCCCTTCTTGGATGTTGTCTCCTGCTGCATCGTTGAAGCATCGTCAGTATCCAAGCCGAGAAGACCAATTGGTTGTATGTTCTGTGTGGTCGCCATCTGATACTTTCATTCATGCAACAACTATTTCTCAAGTGCCTGTTAGGTCCTAGGGATTCGACAGGGAGCAAAAAGAGGCATGAGTCACATGTTCCTTTTCAGGAGAAAAGGACAAAAACCAAAGTAAATACAGTTATATACAGTGTTTTAGAAGAAGAGTGTTCCCTTAGAAGAAGAGAAAATGAATTGAAGATGAGGAATAGAGAGCGAGGGAGGTGCAGGCTGTTTCCATTTTAAATGAAGAGGTCCAGGAAGGCTTCACTAAAATTTGAGAAAGACCTGAAGAAGGGGAGAAGTGAGCCATGCCGCCCTGGGGAGGACCTTCCAGGTAGCGGGATCTGTAGGTTCAGAACCCGGGGCAGAAGCACAGTGGCACACGTGTATTTCATTTGTGGCAAAGCCTAAACACTCTTGACTAAACCAGTTATTGTGGTTTCCGCTATTCCGAGCTATCTTCTATTCTTAGAGACTCCCAACTATGATGCTTTTTCAAATGCTGAAAATAAGAATGTCATCTACAAAATCATTTAATATGGAATGCCGCTTGGATTCGAAGGTATACTGGAATTAGATCTCAAACAAGGAAGCTTTCTATATGTGAAATGGAAACCTCTCCCAGATGTCTTTAGTGGGAAAAAAGCAAGCTGTAGGACAGTGTCTGTGGCACCGCGTTTGTGTAGGGAAGTGAGAAAAATAAGAAATATTTGGAAAGAAATTAGACGTCAAATCAATGTGATGATGACATTTTAATGGTGTTCTGCTGCTAAAATCACAAAAGATGGCCGCTGGTTCTCTTTGGGTTACTCTAGATGGAGAGATGTGTAGGACATGCTTTGCTCAGCGATGCCCTCTTGTTCAGAGCCCAACCTCGTTCTGCTTCATTTAGTGTGGGAACTAGAGCCTTCTTCTATTTCATTTTGTCTTGACCAACCCTTCCCAATTGTTTAATAATTTTGCAAAGAAGATAGTAGCTCATATAGGCTGCTTTTGCTGCAAATAATAGATCTTGATGAAAGGCAGCTGAAACAGTGGGAATTTATCATGTGTAGAAAGACCCCAGAGGTAGGGCCAGGCTAGAGTTTGTTCAGAGCCAGACTCTTTCCATTTCATTGTTGAGGCAGTGCGTCCCTCATGACCATAAAATGGCTGCTGGGGGTTTTATCACGTATGGCTAGACAGAAATCTCCCTAAGAGAAGAAGTGTTTCTCCTCACATCCCTTTTTATCCAGCAGAAGGACTTAGCCTGTCAGCTTGCAGCTGACTTGCCCTTGGGCTCATTGGTGGGGATTGGATCAACAGTCCCCATGCAAAAAAGGCTTGAAGATGCTTGTCTGGCACTTTTAGTCTATATTGTGGGAATCAGGCACTGCCAGCCAGGAGGAAGGGGTTGGGGGTCGAGGGAGAGGAGGTGAATGACAGTTGAGCAGGCAACCCAAGTGTCCGCCATGGATAGTTACCTGGAAACAGATTGGAATTCAAACAAACAGGTGTTCTCTGTCTAAGCTTTAGAGCCCTGCATTTCTTCCAGGGGGCAATCGGTGAGGCAGTCAACTGGGAAGACTGGCTGTTTCAGGCTCTGGTAGCTAAGCAATTAGATCCGTGCGTCGTGGACTGTTTTCAGCTTCTGAGTGCCTGTTTTGTTGCCTTTTTCCTTGACAACCAACCAGATACATCTAAAAGTTCCTTTTGGAGGATCCGGAGATAAGAAGAATGGCAACTAAATCCAAATTAATTGGAGAAAACTTTTCTCAGCTCTCCCTACACAGATGGTTAAAGAGTGTTTCCTGACATCATCAGAATTTGCTGTTTTTGTTGTTGCTGCTACATAAAGATTCTGAAGCTCTGAGATGCAGTACCAGATTGGCATAGAATGAGGTTTCACATATTTCTCTGGGTCTCTTCTTTGATGGGAATTTCCCTTACAAAATGACATTTATGGAGGCCGGCCTGGTGGCATTCGCGTTTGGGGTTCGGACCCTGGGCGAGGACCAAGGCAGTGTTTGTCAAGCCATGCTGTGGCAGCGTCCCGTATAAAGTAGAGGGCACCGATGTTAGCCCAGGGCCAATCTTCCTCAGCAAAAGAAAGAGGAGGATTGGCAATGGATGTTAGTTCAGGGCTGGTTTTCCTCACACACACACACAAAAAGACATTTATGCCCATGGAGCTAGAACCTAGCCAAGCTATGCTTCTTATGTAGGTTTCCAGAATGTCCTGAGTGGGTTCATATTCATGGTGACAGAGAATGAAGTCATGTTTGTGATTAGTCTGCTGCCATCCTCTGGATTCTTTCTACAGGAAAGACTGTCCCTTTCCATCAGTGATGTCATTGAGTTAATGCCTTGTCAGTTTTCTGACAGATAGCCCAGAACCTTAAGAGGATCAAGTTAAGTGGCTGATTCATCGTGGGAAGAGATTAGCCTGAAACCATCAGTGGCCTTTCCTTTTATATCGCATTCTTGAAACCCAAGGTTATAGTAATGACGATTTTTCAGGTCCCTGCTTGCCCGCACCGTTCTCAGCTTATGTCATCTTCATGAGCTAAACATACTTCTTAATAAGATAATCAATGGATTGGTGTGCTTCTCAGTTTTTATCCGCTGATCCAGTCTATGGTCAAGTAGATTGGAGTCCTTGTCAAGTGAAACAACTTGTCTCATTTAGATGGGAATTATTTTTTGTGTGTAAGCTTACTGGAAAATTAGGAGGAAAGGGAAATAAGTACACAGATGGTAACTTTTTTTCTAACTGGACATTTGTGTGATTCTTGACTTGTAGAAGATTACAGTGGCAGAATGCATCGAGACACAGAGTAAAGCCATGACAATGCTCACCATCGAACAGTTATCCTACCTGCTCAAGTTTGCCATTCAGAAAATGAAACAGCCAGGGGTAAGAAGAAAGTTGACTTCTGTTTTGTTGTGTTAACATTCTTGTTCCGTGTAGCCTTAGCTTTTCAGACACCTGTGCATATTCTTTGGTCCTTCTTATGTGCCCGAATTCAGATATCTGTAAATTGAACAAAAGATATGATGACATTCAGTTAATTCTCTATAGTGAGCACTTTTTGTCCCCAAGGAGTTGAATCAGGAAATGACGTATAGCAGAAAGTTGGTGGCGATTTAAAATTCTGACTGGTTGTGAAGTGAAACCTCATACCCCATGGGGTGAGGGGAAGTTTTTTGCTCTTTCCCATGGGAGTTAGTAAAATTCCATTTTAATGCGAGAGCTGAGTGTAACCCAGTTTATTTATAATCAAGATCTGATGATGGAAACTTCAAGTAAAACTCAATCAGTGAGATTCCCATAAAGGGTGAGAATTTGCTGAGTTCCTTTAATTGTGAAATGGGGTTTGATGGACAGCCTTCGCCCCTTGAGGAAAATCCGGGTGTGAAGGCAGGGCTGCCAGCTTCAGCTGGCAAGTCACGTACCTCACAGTGGTTTCCCTCCCAAGAGTCCCAGTCACAATATTACAGCCATAGTAGTTTTAGTTTTTTGCGACAGTTTTCAGGAAGATGGCAGTAAAATACCTTGGCAGTAAAAATAATATGTTATGATAGTATAATCAACATATTATGACATTTTTCCTCCAGAAACTCGAGGGTAGGCTTTTCCTTTTCTGATTTGCACAGAGGCACCATATGGGCTGATGGTGACCCTTTGTGAAATTCTTCTTAGTTTGCTTTCTAAGTCAAATGAAGATACAGAAATGTAGAATCTCAGGGCATTTAGTAGCTTAATTTCCATTTAGTGATTTAATTTCCTTAAAATAATAAGCTTTCGTTTTGAGATTATATTCTGAAATTTGATATCATGATAAAAAAAGTCAGAGCATGCCAATCGAGTGTTGCTAAATTGGGAACCTCTTTGTCTCTTGAACAGAATCTCGGTCAATGGAAGCAAAAGTGTGTAGTCTCAGTTTGGTTAAAACAAAAAAAAATTTTTTTTTTCATACCATAGAGTCATTTTTATGTTGAGTGACGAGGAATTACTTCCTCTTTTTGATAGGCTAAATTATATCTACTGATGACGGTTTACCAAAAGAATAGATTCATGTAGACTTTCTGACACTGCAGAATTATAAACCAAAAAGAAAAATTGAAGAAGTCATTAATTTATCACATAAATTGATATGAAATCAACCAAGGCAGAAAGTTGTGGATTTTTTGAAGCATCTTTTTAGCTTACAATGGCCACACTTACAAACTGGATGAGAGAAGGCTCTGATGACTGCACATGGTAACCCGGTCAGATGCCTTGCTTGAGTAGAATTTGGGGGTTTAATTAAATGTTTTAGATTTTTTTATTGATAAGTAAACACCACCCATCAACAAACCAGGCCTTGCATTTTGAGCTGATTCAAGTAGGGTTAAGAAAATAGATCCAAATGAAAACCTTTTACACAGTCCCTGTGTTGATGGTAATTTGACTTCTCAAAGGAGGAGCAAAATCTCACTGTCTAAAATTTTCCCCTCTGTGTAAAATGTCTGTTGGCATTTAGGGGAACTTTATTTGCTGTGTCATTTCTAGGTGTAGCCAAATTTCGCCCTCAGTCAGCTTTGATTATGGGCATTCGCAGTGTAAATAAGCCTGGTTCGGAGTCAGGTCTAACGTAACTGATGGTGTCTTTTTCTTGCCCGTCTTCATATAAGAGGACGAGACCTGTTATATAGGTATATATTGAAAACAAAACAAATAACAAAACCAGAACACCCCCCATGATGATTGATAACCGGGCTGAATGAGAAGTGAACCAATTTGGAGCTCCCCAAGGTCATTCTTTGTGGAAACCTTTAGAACTGGGTTGTCTGAAAAGTTGTCTCCATGTTTAAAGTACTTTGTTGGCCTTGACGCTTTGTCTTCCACAGTAATGAGGGCTTTGTGCCTGTGTGTGTGCATCTTTTCTTTCTTTTATAGACAGACGCATTCCAGAAGCCTGTTCCACTGGAACAGCATCCCGACTACGCGGAATACATCTTCCATCCCATGGACCTTTGTACATTGGAAAAGGTTGGCCTCCATCGAAGAACCTACCATTGTCGAGATGACTAAAGATCCTCCCTCACTTCCCGTGCCCCATCTCAAGTTAGATGGTTTCTCTACCTTTCCCCTGCACCGTTTTAATTTGGATGGAAGGACTCTTGGGCTCTTTCTTCTTCTGTAACGTTCTTCCAAGGATTGCAATGGAGTGTTGGAATCCACCGATTAGCTCCACATGTTACTTCTGCTGGTGATTCCAGCTTTTTATCTGAAAAAGTCACAGCTTCTAGGAATTAGTGATTTGATTGATTTGAGACTTATCTCCTCTTCTCTTTCTTTTGGAGGTGCTAATAAGAGCAGCAGGAAGGAAGAGGAGAAAATTAAGTGCCTGGGAAACCTCCAGATTAGTAATAAAGATGTGGCTTCGTAGAACTTGTCTTAGTCTACTGATAAGGATATTTCTTTAATACCTGAAAGTGTTTTAAAAGTTCATGCTAAAATTTCACACTTGTAACACTTCAGATTGTGCGTGTCACCCTGGTGCTGATTTTCCAGTCATTGGCACCAAAATATTGGTAAAGAAAAGCATGGATGAGGAGAAAACATTATTTCATGTTGTCTGCACGGATGACCCCTAAACAATAAGTCTAATCTGCTTTGGAAAGTTGTGCAGACCCTCAGGGTATTCAAAAAAAGAAGGCATTTGGGCCTACAGACCTACACACTGCTCATTAAGCCATGCTGTGGCGGCACCCCACATACAAAATAGAAGAAGATTGGCACAGCTCTTCGCTCAGGGCCAATCTTCCTCGCCAAAAAAATAAAAAATAAAAAAATAAATAAAATAAAAAGAGACTTTTTTTTTAAAAAAAAGAAGGCATGCGAAAAAGACAGGATTGGAACCCTAGCTTCATAAATGAATAGGTTTGCAACTTAAGATAAGTTCCTTAAAATTCCCATACCTCAGTTTCTCTGTCTGTAAAGTGGGGACGATGATAACTGTTTCGTTGAGTTCTCAACCATGAGGCTTATGTGTGACTGTTAAAAATAATAGTAAATACTTAATTCATATAATATTCTGGTTCATTGGAATAAGCTGCTTGAGAAATGATAGCTGCTATAAGATGAGAAAATTCAGGTTAGTGTGATGAATTCAACGAATGCATTTTTATAGTTATAGATCTCAAATATAATAGCATCTTGGGAAATGAATAAAAGCATTAATGAATTTGGCAAATGACTGCTAAGAAGATTATGTGGGGGACGCAGGTGTTATTGGCTGTGGCTTGTCTAGACTCATGGGTGATTATGCTCTGCCTTTTCTCCGCAGAACGCTAAAAAGAAAATGTATGGCTGCACAGAAGCCTTTCTGGCTGATGCAAAGTGGATTTTGCACAACTGCATCATTTATAATGGGGGTGAGTGGCTTCGATGACTCCTGAAGAAGAGAGTATGGTGTGTGCATTGCCCATTCTCCCGCCCTTCATAAAAAATCAGGCTCTGTTTTCATGTATCAGGGCCAATAGCTGAGAACAGTTGTGTATAGATGGCTATCTGTGCGAATAGGGGCAGTGACTAGGTGCATTTTAAGGTATGAACTGACATGCAGAGTGGCTCGCAGTTATATGGTGCTGCTGCCTGTCCTTTTTAAAAACTTTATTTCAGTGGAGGAATAATTACATACAATAAGGTGCACAGATTTTACATGTACATTCCATGAATTTGACATATGTATAACCACAAACCCAAATAAGATCTAGAACATTTCCATCACCCTATTATATTCCTGGTTGCCCCTTTCCAGTAAATCCACCCCCCTCCAAAGGAGCTACTGTTCTGTTTTGTTTCACTGTAGTTGAGTTTCACATAGTCTAGAATTTCATATAAATGGAGTCAGAGATTACACTCTTGTGTCTGGCTACTTTCCCACAGCGTAGTATTTTTGGGATTCATCCATGTTGCGTGTGTCAGTGGTTCGTTTCTTTTTATTGTTGAGTGGTTTTTCATTGTATCAGCATACAGTGTATTTATCCATTTACCTTGTTGATGCTGATGGACATTTGGGTTATATTCAGCTTTTGGCTGTTAAGAAGAAAGCCACTGTGAACATTCTTGTACAAGTCTTTGTGTGGACATGTTTTCGTTTCTCTTGGGTAAATACCTAGGAATGGTATTACTGGATCATTGAGTAGGTTTATATTTAACTTGATAAGAAATTTTGCCCAACTGTTTTGCAAAGTGGCTGTATCGTTTTACACTTTTTCCAGCAGTGTGTATGAGTCTTAGTTGTTCCATATCCTGGCCAGTACTTGGTATTGTCTGTCTTTTTAATTTTAGCCATTCTTGAAAGTATGCAATATTGTGTCATGGTGGTTTTAATTTGCCTTTCTGTAGTGACTAATGGTATTGAGTATCTTTTCACATGCTTCTGAGTCATTTGTGTATCTTTTTTGGTAAAATACCTATTCAGATATTTTGTTCATTTAAAAAATTGGGTTATTTGTGTTTTTATTATTGAGTTGTAGGATTTCTTTATATTCTGGATAAAGTTTTGTTGGTTGTGTTTTCATGGGTTTAGAGGATTGAGCCTTCTGGACAGAATGGAGGAGGATTTCCATTAAAATCTCTCATGGCACCTTGCCCATTGCCCTACCTTCTCTCACACTCCGCTCTGTCTACCTTCTGGCCAGGTGGATCTTTCAGTGTCCTGCCCCATCCTGTCCCTCTTGTCCCTAGGTCCTGTTGTCTCCTGCTGGACACTCTTTCCTTCTTTGCCTTCATGACTTTTCCTTATCCTCTCCCAGCCTCTCTGTCCTCTCAGGAGCCTTCCCTTGTGACCCAGACCATATTATGTGCTCTTGTTTGGGGCTCTCACAGTACCTGTCCTTCCCCATGGCAGCATTTATCACACTTCCCAGATGCTACTGTTTTTATTTGAGTTGCTCACCAGGATGTAAGCTCTTTAAGGGCAGCCACCATGTCTCGTTCCCTGCATACCCTTGGGGCTAGCATAGACTTTTAGCTAATGTTTAAGGAAACAAGTCTGAATGGATAGATGTTTGCTTAAAGCCCATGTTTTGCATTATTAACTCAGTAGCAGGGCTCGGGGTTCAGGGAGAGGAGAGAGTCACTAGGCATTGAGAATTCGTGTAAAGGTTATAAACTCAAAAATGTAGAAAGGCCCGTCAGATCATATGAACAGGTGAATGAGGTCAGCTGGAAGAAAAACATTGGCACAGGCCAGGATATCGACTGGCCACGGGGAGAGCTGGAGATTGCACAGAATGGGGAGCTCCTGCCTGCTCTGGAGGGCTTGCCACTGGACACTGCAGTGGTTTGTTGGATACAGAGTTATCAGATCTTCTGAGTTTTTAAGGCAAGCCAGAAATGTAGGTATTTGTGTGTGTATGTGAAATATTTTTGCCAACAAATTCACAATTTCTGAAAATACCATAATGTTTGAAGAAAACATGGCTTTTTGACTATCTTGTCCTCTGGTTTAGTGCAAAGGTGAGGGATTTAGAGTTAGATCTGGGGTCAGATCTTCAACTCATTAGCTAAGTGGTCTCATATAAGCGGTGACTCTTCCGAGCCTTGGCTTACTCATCAATGAAATGGGAAGGTTCATAGCTGCTTCCTAATACGGCTTCTGGAGGAGTTAACCAGAAAATGTAGTTCAAAGCACCAGGCACACCAGAGCTACTCAATGAAATATCTTCTTTCCTCTGTACCCTTCTTGGGTAGGAGTTTGGGACAGTGGGTAGAATAAGGCTCATTTCTGCTAATTTGAGCCTTTAGAGTGTAAAAGCATCTTTCAGATGTTAAACCATGAACTGTGGGTGATCCCACACAAGTCTCTCAGTTTCAGAGAAGATGACATTGTGACACCAAAGATTGGTCAATGTTCAGGGGAGAAGTCACATAATTTGAACTGATATTAGAAGCCAGAACCCTTTGGTTTTTAGCCTTTAAAAGCTTGGTCCTGGCGGAAAGCAAGTAAAAAGGTTGTTAGTGGAAGTTTAATCATAAGGCTGGGTGTTACAGTGTTTCCATTTGAATTAATCCTATTTTCTTATTCCCTTAGGAAATCACAAATTGACACAAATAGCAAAAGTAGTCATCAAAATCTGTGAGCACGAGGTATGTGTTTCCCACAGTCCTGTTTTAAATGCGTCCGGAGTGAGAGGTTGGGGTGGCTGAAGTTTCCATTTGCAGAGTCTCCCAGTGGGTAGCGGTGGTGATGTTGGGATTGTGGAGGCACAGACGGCCTCCCCTCTCTTCAAGGAAAGGGGAAGTAGCAAAGAGGGTATTTCTGAATCTACCTGTTGGCAACACCCTGCTGCTTTGTGGCCACAAGGCCGGGCTGTCCTGGACCTGATGTTCCCACCTTGTTTTATCCAGTACCTTTGGAACAACCCAGAAGTAGTGTGAGCAGAAGGAGGAAATATATGCCACCATTCATTCATTTGTGCATTCACTCATTTCTTCATTGACTTGTTAAGTCAGTCAGTTATAATTAATTAATTAGAATTATAAATTACACAATTAGTCATTGTAAATAATTAATTATAAATAATTATGGAGCACTTGCTGTGTATCTGGTACCTTGCATGACGCAGGAGTTAAAGAGAAAAACAAGTCTGATGATGTTGGGAAGATAACAGCAACTAATAGGGCAGTGGTGGAGCCCTTGGCGGTGAAGACTTTGGAGCCCGACTCCCTGGGTTCAAATCCTGGCCCTGCCACTTTGCCGCAATGAGACCTTGGTCAGGTTACTTGACTTCTTGGGGCCTCACTTTCTTCTTCTGTAAAATGGGGATAACAACAGTCCTACCTCAGAGGGGGTTGTGAGGAGGAAATGAGTTAATACCTGTAGAACTTACAGTGGTACCAACACAGTCTAAATCTCTGATAAATGCTAATTAGTTTATTGATTTTGTGTTACTTGAAGGGCTTTACATTTATCTGAATAATTTTGATAATGGTCTTAAGAGGTAGGTACTTCTCTCATCCCCGTTCTGTAGATGAGAAAACGGAGGCTCAGACAAGATAAGCAACTTTTCCTCAAGTTACAAAAGTAGTAAATGCTGGAGTCTGAATTGAGATTCCAGAAGGAGTTTCTGGGGCCCTTGGTTCTGAGTCATGATGGTACTCTGGGGAAGGTACTTTCTCAAGAGGGAGAAGGACAGCAGGTAACTTGCAGAATTTCAAATTGTTGTCAGTGGAAACAAACCAGGGCGACGTGGTAGGGGATTAACTGCTCTGGACGGTGTGATTAGAGATGCACAGAGTTGAGCATGGCAAGCAGAGGCCAGGGTGGCTGGAAGGGATCGGGGAGCTCAGACAGGTGGGCTGAGGCCAGACCACACGGGCCTTGAAGGAACTGGTCGGGTGTTCAGACGTCATTGTTGTTTCTCAGCTTCAGCACTCCTGACGTTTGGAGGCAGAGAATTCTGTGCTGTAGAGACTGTCCTCGTACATCATAGACAGATTCCAGTTGCCACTGTTCCCCCTCCGAGTGGTGATAACCAAAAAATATCTCCAGACATTGCCCAGTGTTCCCGGAGAGGTTCCACTGCCCTGGTGGAGAACCGCTGGTCTAAGGGGAGGGGCAAGATGAGATCTGTGTTTGTGGAAGATCTGGCTGCTGTATCTGTGTGGGGTATACACCATAGTGGGAGCTGGGTGATATGGTCCAGCAAGATGTGATGGCGGCTTGGGCTAGGTGGAGGCTTTGGGGTTGGTGAGAAATGGTTGGATTTATCTCCAAGGTGTTCCCCACTGTGGGGCTTAGTTTAGCTAATCCTACCTGCCAATATTGTTGTGCATTTCCTGAGGGCCTGCAGGTGTAGGGTCCCTGCGATGGCGCATTCTAACGTATTTTTGCTTTACAGATGAATGAAATCGAAGTATGTCCAGAGTGTTATCTAGCTGCTTGCCAAAAACGAGATAACTGGTTTTGTGAGCCTTGTGTAAGTTGGATTTCCTTTCCTTCCTTCATTTTCTGAACTCTGCCTTGGCTGTCTACCCGAGACAGCTTTCTCCAGGTGGCTTATTTGACGGAACTTTGGACGAAGTTCTTAAATAATTTTTTTCTGATAAAGTTATGGCAGAGTGAATGCAATGCAGGTGGGATAAACCTCTTCGGCTGAAAGTTCGTGTGCCAGAGGTGCATCATGACTTACTGGGTTTCTTAGCCCGGGCAGAATCCGGGATGCAGAGTAGGGGGGCACATCAGAGAGGAGGGGGACACACCAGGGTAAAGCAGATAATGAGATGCGTGTTAAATGTGTGTGTCGTTTACAAATCGTGTTTTAGGAGGTTAGGAAATACCTCCCTGGATTAACTCCATGGTCTCTCTAAACCATGGTTCTTGGGGATGGGGGTGGGGGGAAGACTGTCACCTTAGTTTCCCCCACAGATCTGCAGTTTCCAAACTGGTGTTCTGCAGAGAGCATGTGTTGTGGGGGTGGGCTAGTGTGTGTGTGGGAGGATGGAGGGGGGAGTGGAATGTATTGGGGGGCAAGATTGGGCAAGTAAATTTGAGAATCAAAATATAGTTGATGTCTCTTCCTGCCTTTGGAGTTTAACACTTGAATAGTTAAGATAAAGAATAAAGGTGGTGAATACTGCCCCTCGTTATATGCTAGCTACAACGTGCATTTAATCCTCCAATTTAACAGGGTGTAGGTATTACTGTCTCCGTGTCATACACAAAGGTGGACTCTTTTGCTCGAGGCCACCCAGGTAATAGCAGCACAGCCAGGTTCCACGCCTGGTTTTGTCAGCACTCAGGTCTTCTCGAGCTCACCATGTAACCCCATTCCCAGCCTTGCCCGGGCTTACTGGCCACACTTCTTGGGAACACCACTTGGGGAGACCCTGCTTGAAACTATTCTCTTTCCATTTGTGGCCTGTAGCACCTATACCTCGCATTATCCCCACACACCAAGCTTTCTGTGTGTATCTGGCTGTCAAATACATACAAACTCTGGATTTTGTTTTTCTTTTCCTAGAGCAATCCACATCCTTTGGTCTGGGCAAAACTGAAGGGCTTTCCATTCTGGCCTGCAAAAGCTCTGAGGGATAAAGATGGGCAGGTGGATGCCCGTTTCTTCGGACAACACGACAGGTGGGAGTTAAAATCAGGCTTCAAACGTGTGGCTTTAACTGAACCTTTGGTACCGTCATTGAGTATGAGACCTAGGGGAGGAGGGCATGGCTATTATTTTGTTTATTGTCATGATACCAACCAGCGATCTTGTAATTTAAAGATATGTTCCTGTGCTGTGTTAAGCCTGATAATGCGTGAGCTTCAGTTTTTTCAGGTATGTTAGAAAAGAATCTTGCTTTTGCGGTTTTGTTGATGAAACCAGCATTGGAATAGGTTCCAGGGCTATTTTAAGTGCTGCTGTTCTTTTTTGGATATTCTGGGGTAAATTAAACCGCAAATTGCTTTTCAAAATAATGCTTTCAGAGATCAGGAGTATTTTCCCAGATTGCTGGTAAATGAATCTCCTGTAGTTGTGCTGGGTTCCCTCCTGTTCCCTTTTCTCTGAAGGTAAAATGGGAAATTGTAAGGGGTTGCTGTTTTGACAGGTGCGAGCCCTCCCTCCCAGCCTTTCCGCCCTCCCCTTTTCCTTGCTTACAGTGAAGTGAATTATTCCCGCTAATGCAGTCCCTTTAGAGTGTAGCCCCCTGCATGCCTGAGAACAACAGGTAGACGGAGATGAGCAGCCGTTAATATCTTAGTTCTCTTTTAGCACGTTGTGTTATGATTAAATGAGGCAAAACCCTTTCGAAGCCCTACCAAGCAAGTGGTTTGAGAAAATGTGTGAGTGTGTAGCGGAGAAGATTTAAAAGACATACTCTAGGGGCCGGCCCCGTGGCTTTGTGGTTAAGTGCACGTGCTTCACTACTGGCAGCCCGGGTTCGGATCCTGGGCGCGTACTGATGCACCGCTTCTCCGGCCATGCTGAGGCAGCGTCCCACATACAGCAACTAGAAGGATGTGCAGCTATGACTTACAGCTATCCACTGGGCTTTGGGGAGAAAAAGGGGAAAAAAAAAAGGAGGATTGTCAATAGATGTTAGCTCAGGGCTGGTCTTCCTCAGCAAAAAGAGGAGGATTAGCATGGATGTTAGCTCAGGGCTGATCGTCCTCACACACACACACAAAAAGACATACTCTAAAATTTATACACACCCACAGAATATACAGAAAATGCAGTTTATAATTCTAAACACCGGAATCTGAAATCTTGCTCTCTCTGTTAAATTTTGCTTGTCATCTTGCAAATCGAAGAAAAGAGTGAATTCCAAAGTAATCTGCAAAATCATTTGCTGGGAATCCCAGCAGTCCATTTTCAGGAGACATAATGGAAATTAGCTGAGATGGTCCTGGGTTTGATAGGAAGAATTGCACTTTTTTTGATTTTGACCACTTTTGTTGGAATTCTGTCTAAAGTCATTTATTCATTCATTCAAAGAAATATGTATTTGGTGTGTGCCAGGCCGTGTGCTGGATGCTGGGGATACAGGAGTGAGCAGGCAGACCCTGTCCCCTGCCTGTCGTATGGCTGACCATCCTAGTGGGGAAGACAGATAAAACACGAGTAAACAAACAGGCAAGCTGATCTCAGGTCAGGAGGTGATGGTGGGGCTGAGTGAAGATGTGGGTAGAGGGAGCAGAGAGGGCAGAGAGGTGGGGAGGGGAGGGCCGAGGCAGTGTGGTTTGAACAGGATGAGGGAGGAGAGGGTGGTGAGAGATGGGGCCGGGATCACAGGAGCTGTGGTCAGGAGTCGGGCTTTTGTTTGAAGAGCAGGAGGAATTGTTGGCAGGTTGTTCATCTTCCTGCCTCTTCATTAGAGCACGGCAGTGTTAACCATCTCGATGATCCGGGATTACTCTTATTCTATAGTGTAACACAGTGTGGGCACACCTAGGATGAAGGTGGGTAGAGGAAAGGCAGTGCCTGTCCCCCTCACCGACTATTCCCCGACCCTCCGAGTCTTTGATTCTGCTCTCTCCGCTATGCCCACTCTGCGCGGATCTCCCACTCCTACCTCGCTGACAGCCACTGAAGGTGGCTTAGGGGGCATGCGCTTTGCTAGCCCTGTTTCCAGAGGCTGTTTCCCCGAAACTTGCAGGTGTAGGTTGGTTGTGGATGGGAGCTGTTGTAGAAGGCGGGCCCCCTGCCTTTGTGAAAAAGACAGCAGCACAAGTCTGATGCCCACGAGATTTTCTCAGCCCCCATTTGTGTCTTCTGTCCGCTCAGAGGGAATGTGCTGAGCTCTTGGGCTCATTTGGGTGAGGGATGCTCATGGGGGGAATTGTGAAGGACATCCCACAGTGGCCAAGGGACAGTACCTTGGAGTTGTAGGAATGTTTTAGTCGGCCCGGGGCAGGGGTCACTGGCAGCTGTGGGAGAAGCTACTCCTAGAAGGAGAAACGTCTCTCCTTACTCAGAGATGTTCTTTTTTCTTTTTTTTCCTGAGGAAGATTCACCTTGAGCTAACATCTGTGCCCATCTTCCTCTATTTTGTATGTGAGCTGCTGCCACAGCATGGCTAACGAGTGGTGTAGGTTTGCGCCCGAGAACCGAACCCACCGCCGAAGCAGAGCACGCCAAACTTAACCACTAGGCCACGGTGCCAGTCCCTGGGAGATGTTGTTAAAGCAGAATGGGGCAGGTTTGTTGACAGCCTGCTCTGGGTCAGACCCAGGATGCAGAGACTACAGGGAGGCTGCAGGAGGTGTGACACGCTGTCCCTTTCTCGGGGAGCTCCTTCGGGGTTATAGAGCCAGAACTTAAACCTGGACGTGTGTAAGCGAGATAGGTCAGGGCAGCAGAGTAAGAAATATCACAGACCATCACACGTTCATTGTCAAGTTAATAAATACTGGAGTGAGCCCAGGGAGGCCCTTGCACAAATCAAGGCATGTTCTGAAGAGTCTCATTGCGTGCTTTTGTCCTTTAGAAGATTTTGCTTTCGTTCCGTTTTATTTCATACACACACGTAAGTAAAAATGTAGAAAATATTTTACTAAATGCCTGCAGAGCTAAGAAAGAAATAGCCTTAAGTGAGTATCTGCCGTACATCAGGCAGTGTTTTAAGTGCTTTTTGTAGAAGCTGCTTTTCTCCCCATTGTACTGAGGCCCAGGGGCCGGCCCGGTGGCACAAGCGGTTAAGTGTGCTCGCTCCGCTGCGGCGGCCCGGGGTTCGCAGGTTCGGATCCCGGGCGTGCACCACTGCGCTGTTTGTCAAGCCATGCTGTGGCGGCGTCCCATATAAAGTGGAGGAAGATGGGCACAGATGTTAGCCCAGGGCCAGTCTTCCTCAAGAAAAAGGGGGAGGATTGGCATCGGATGTTAGCTCAGGGCTAGTCCTCCTCATACACACACAAAAAAAGAAAACTGAGGCCCTGCGCTAGGCAGTAGCTCAGCTGTGTGACTCTGTGGCCTCTTCTGACACTGCCCCCCCAGAGCATATCTAATTCCCCTTGAAGTATTTCCTGGGCCTGCTTTAAGGAAAAGAAACACTTTCCTGAAATCACGTGACAAGCAACTTCACTGAAGACACTTGAGGACCTGAGAGGAAGCAGTTAAGGCCCCGATAGCAGACAGAAGCCTGGAGATGAAGGTGCTCTCAGTGTTGACTGGTTGGCTGATCAGCTCCTGGTGGTGCCAGGACTGGCTTGGGTGCATTTCACTTGACCCCCTCGGCAGCCCTCCTGGTTGGGGCTCATCCTCCACTTCGCTGGTGGCAGAGCTGAGGCTGGCTCAGGGAGGGGGAGTCACTTGTTGGGGAGCCTGGGGATCCTGATAGCTCCTCAGAGCCTCTCTGTCTAGTCCGGGCTCCTGTGCACCCAGTTGTAACACGCAGAGGCCCGGCCGCCTCTCACCCTGAGGGCGCTTGGCTCCTGTTCAGCCCTGTTCCATCTGACTGCAGATGTGAGTCTTTAGATCTCTGCAGAATGACAGCAGTGAGTGGGAATGGGGGAGAAGCTGGTAATTTCCAGCACTGAGAGAGCAGCTAGATATTTTTGGGGGTGTTCGGTTTTAGTTTGTGTTCGCATCTAGTATCACCAAGAGCTGCATACAGCGAGCCGGTGCACTGAATTCTGCCCCGGGGCCGTGCTTGATTGCTCCTGGGTTGTTTTCTCTTAAAAACAGGAATGAGATGCCAACTGTTAAAATGTAAATGTAATATAAGAAGGCCATATTTCCTGCTGCTCTTTAAAATGTTGGAAGACTTGGCAGCGTTGGGTCCAGATTCCTCCATGGCACCTTGGCTAGCACCCGCGTAGATGGTGCCAGGGGCAGACTGGCCGTGAGGTCTCTACTTCCCCTCAGTCCACTTTGCTTCCTGTTACTTTATACTGGGATTGAGTTTATGGTCTGTGAAATCCAAAAGGCCGCCTTGGAAAAGCTCATTCCCACCAGGGCTGCAAACTGGGTTGAGGCTGGGGGATCAGATGTGACAAGGCTACGTCCTGGATGTTCCTGCATCGGCTCTGTCTTCACGCAGAGCATGTTTGTGTTCCCGTCTCCTGCATGCGGTCGCTCGGGTTGCTCATTCCAACAAAGCAGCCACCAGTGTTTGTGCTCTCATGGGTTTCTGGCAAGCACACAGGGATGTGGGGTACAGAAGGCGGGAAGACGGAACCAGCCTGGAGTGGGAGGTGGAGGGTGCAAACCCCACGGCCAAAGGGCTGTTTTCTCGGTTATTTTCCATGTGAATTATCTCACTTTCAAAACCATGCACTTCCTGTTAAGGTTATGGTTTTCCAACATTTCTTTCTAGTCCCATATAGGATCCCAATTTGAAAAGAGAAAAGCTCTTCATGTCTTGAGTGCAGAAGAGTGAGATTCGAGCGAATAATTCTCTTTTTGGAGGTGTAGTCTGGGGTGCACTGACTATTTTTTATTACTCTCTACCAACCCAAAGCCAAAGGGGATTTATTATTTTTTTAATGGATTAAAATGACTAAGTCTATTGAGCCTTTTAATGTTTTAGCTAAGTTTGTTGTTCACGTTCTGTCCTTATGACAGAACATGTCTGTTAAGCATTAATGGTTAATCATTTAACAACCATTCAAACCAAGTCATTTTAAAAAAATGAAATATGTTATTTAAGAATTTAAGAAACATATTAGGCTAATTTGGTTTGCATTAAGGAAAAAACAATTCTGGATAAAGTTGAATGGATAAAGAAAATGTCGTACTTACTTACAGTGGAATACTATTCAGTCTTAAAAAGTATTTGACGACGTGGATGAACCTTAAGGACATTATACTAAGTGAAACAAGCCAGTCACAGAAAGACGAATATAGCATGATTCCACTTATATGAGGCGGCATCTAAAATAGTCAAATTCATAGAATCCAAGAGTGGAATGGTGGGTTTGCCAGGGGCTGGTGGGAGGGGAAATGGGGAGTTACTAATCAACGGGCATAAAGTTTCATAAACAAAATGAATAAGCTCTAGAGATCTGCTGTACAATCTTGTATCTATAGAGTCCACAATAATGAATTGCACACTTAAACATGTATTAAGTTGTTCTTACCACAATAAAATAAATTTTTTAAAAACTTAAAAAAAAGGATCTTGGAAAGGACCAAAGTTGACTTAAACTCTCTCTTTTTGCACTCCTAGGGCCTGGGTTCCAATAAATAATTGCTACCTCATGTCTAAAGAAATTCCTTTTTCTGTGAAAAAGACTAAAAGCATCTTCAACAGTGCAATGCAGGAGATGGAGGTTTATGTGGAGAACATCCGAAGGAAGTTTGGGGTTTTTAATTACTCTCCATTCAGGACACCCTACACGCCCAACAGCCAGTATCAAATGCTGCTCGACCCCACCAACCCCAGCGCCGGCGCCGCCAAGATAGACAAGCAGGAGAAGGTCAAACTCAACTTTGACATGACGGCGTCCCCCAAGATCCTGATGAGCAAGCCCATGCTGAGCGGGGGCACGGGCCGCAGGATCTCCTTGTCGGATATGCCTCGCTCCCCCATGAGTACAAACTCCTCCGTGCACACGGGCTCCGATGTGGAGCAGGATGCCGAGAAGAAGGCCACGTCGAGCCACTTCAGCGCGAGCGAGGAGTCCATGGACTTCCTGGACAAGAGCACAGGTCAGCCCTGGCCGGAGAGGGTGGAGGTGGCCCCAGGGACACGGGGGTTTCTACCAGTGCCACACCTGTCGGGTCCTAGCTGGTGACTGTCACAGAATTAAAGGGAGCTGCATGGGGTTCTGTTCCAGTGGAGCAAATTTTAAATTTTAGAAGAGTAACCCAATGGAATTCTTGGTGTTAGGGACCAAAAAATGAGAAAAGTGGTCCGCAAAGGCCAGCTGGAGGTCCTGCCTAGAAGTGGGCAGAGATGGCCAGAAATCCTTCAGAGCTCAGTTCAAATCCTCTTAATCCCAACAACTTCCTGTAATACTTTTTCCCTCAAGAATTTAATTTTAATTGAAACATTTTTCCATCAAAACCATGTAATCATGTTTCTTAATACTCAAATATTAGAGAAACTCGTAAGGTAAACAGTAATAGTCTCTCCCCAGGGCAGTCCCACTCCTTAAAGGTCACCCCATTTAACAGCTGTGTTGCATTTTTGAGACTGGCTATAGGAGAGCGGTTGAGAATGAGGATGTTGGTCTCAGATCCCAGCTCTGCCACTCCTGCTTTGTGGCTTTAGGCAAGATCCTTAACCTCTCAATGCCTCAGTTTCCTTCTGTAACATGACATGATGATAGGACCTGCCTCATAGGTTCTTGTAAGGATTAAATGGATCGACGCACAATGGAGCAGTGCCTGAAATAGAGCTACAGAAATGTCAGCTACTTTATTATTTCTTATGGTGGTTGCTAATCAAAAGCCTACATGGATCAGAGAGCTGATGCAAACGAGGGATGTTGGCCGAGTGTAAGAAAAGTGATGGTGACTTGAATTCTTTCTACCCAAAGATGTGGTTGCATGTTAAATATTTAAGAACTTGACTCCTACAAGGAAATGGGTTTACTCTTATTTTTCTTGAAACATGGCCTTCACTGTTTGTTCTTTGTTCTTCTGCCTTTGAGAGATGTGGGCACAGAGAAGGCTCCACACTAAATGCGACGATCAAGGCAGCGAACCCTTAGGCTCTGGGCTGGAGAGATGTCGATGGGGCGGGGACTGGTAAACCACGGGGCACCTGCCCCACCTCAAGGGCTTCAGCCCATGTTTGCCATGCGGGAATGTGGACTTGTGGTTTTCGGATCTTAACATTCTTCCAGAAAAATGGGAAATCTGCATTTTTATGTAAAATCTCCAGTTATTAAATGTCTGCTCAAAATGTTCTATTTTCCAGAATGAATAAAGCATATCTGCAGGTTGGACCCGCCACCAGTTTTAGACTTCTGGCCAAAGCGTTAACCTTGGAGAGCCTTTCCAACTCCCTCTGTCCCTCCCCTCCTCTCTCCCTTCCTTCCTTCACGTAAGAACTCTTTAAGGAGCAGGCGTCAGTTCTTTAAGAGACCATCAGTGCCCCCGGAAGACAAAATGATGGGAACTTAGTCAGTTGTGAACTCACAAAGAATTCCAGCCATTTTGGTTGTGCTGGTTCTTGTTTCTGGTTGGTTGGTTATTTTCAGGTACTGGTTGTGGCTGCTCCGAAAATGGCTGTCAGTGGAGTAGGGAGAGTTACCTGCCAGTGGCTCTCGTTCTTCACAGTAAAGGCTGCAGTCTCCCTCTCCAGCTCTGACCGGAGCTACGTGGTCCTGGGGACTCACAGTTGAGTTCTAGAGCTTTCTTCTGGGATGACGTAACTTGTAACTTGTGTTGACATTGTTTCGGAAAAAAAGTTCCCTTTTGCCCCCTAGTTTCTGACCAGAGTCCTTAAGAGCTTACTTTTTATTCCATGACATGGTTCCGTGTAAGCTGAGTTAACAAAACATGGTGCGTAATCACACAGACTCCCCAGCCTGTTAGTTCCCAGTGAGGACACACTGTTGAGAAAGTGGTGGCAATCTCGTGAATCGCTGTTGCTTGAACTTTCACCGCCGTGATTTTTGCCGTATTCTAGTACCACCTATTTTATTGCATTCTTAAATATTAAATCTGCAACTTAGCTTCATCCTAAGCTAATAAAATGTGTACGCTCCTGTGTTTAAATATTGTCTGCAACTTAGGTTTTTCCTAAGCTAAATAAAATGTATAAGCTCATGTGTTTAAGTTGCTTGTTGTGTTTTTTCCCAATATACATGGAACTAATACATAGCTTGTAAAACATGTTGGTCTGTGAACCACTGTTGGTTTTCTTGCACCATAGTTCAGGAACTAGTTTTATAGGAATATGAGAACACGTATAATGTGTTAATTAAGCTTCTCTCTTCCCTCGGGTGGTACAGAGGTTGAAATGACGTCAGAATTCCTGGCAAAAATCCCTCATCTTTGAGTGGCTTTTTAGGTGATAAGTTAGTAGATCCCCCATTTCAGTAAACTTTAATATCCCTTTCCCAAAATATAATCCCCTTGCCAGGATGTGCTGGGGTCATTTTGCTAATCGTGAGTTAGACAGCCGATGAGTAGTATAGGAAGAGAAGGTGATATTCAAAATTGTTTTAGTCGGGCCAGCCCTGTGGTTTAGCGGTTAAGTGCGCGCGCTCTCCTGCTGGCGGCCCGGGTTCGGATCCCGGGCGCGCACCGACGAACTGCTTCTCCGGCCATGCTGAGGCCACATCCCACATACAGCAACTAGAAGGATGTGCAGCTATGACATACAACTATCTACTGGGGCTTTGGGGGAAAATAAATAAATAAATAAAATCTTTAAAAAAAAATTGCTTTAGTCTTACAAATTGCCCCCTTTTCTGTAAGGAGCCAGATAGTAAATACTGTAGGTTTTGTGGGTCTCTGTCACAACTCTGTAACTATTCAACACTGTCGTTGTGTTACTAAAGCATATTGCCATGGGCAGTATGTGGCTGTGACACTGAAATTTGAATTTCATATAATTTATTTCATGAACTGTTAATTCTTTTTTCAACCATTTAAAAATGGCAAATACCCTTCTTAGCTTGCGGGCCATGCAAGAACAGGTGGTGTGCCAGATTTGGCTCGTGGGTTGGTTTTCCAACGTGTATTATAGACTAAGAGTTAGAAGAAACTCTGAATCAGCCTCCCCATTTTACAGAAGGCAAGTTGAGGTCCCTGTGGAGTGTGTAGGGAGGTGCCTGAGTCCCCAGAGCCAGATCCTGTCTAGACCTGTTTTCTTTTCACCGCACCCTACTGCCCTCTGCTGTTAGCAGCGATGATAGCATTTAGTGGAAGAAGACTATTTATTGAAATATATATGTATAAAATAATAATAATGCATATAAAATAGTCTTCCCACAATCAGGGAATGTATAATTGGGACGAGACTGTATAAGAGAAGATTGTCATAGGATGGAAAAACCATGTTAGTTTCCGCAATGAAAATTTTGTAGCCAGCAACACGAAACTACAAATTGAAATCAGTTGTTAAATAAAACTTGCATGAGAGTTTAGAAACCTTCCTTTTTTGGGGGGGGGATTGAAGAGCTCAGAATCATGTGTCTGTAATCCTTGGAACTAGATTTAGCTTTCTAAGAAGCACTTTTCTAGCCGGAAGCCTCTCACTCATGGTGTCCTGGAATCCTGTCATCTTAATGGTCAGAGTGGTTTATATTCTCAGTGATTTTTTCTCTTTCCTCCTTTATCTAGACCTCCTGGCCAGAACTGATGCCTTTGCCCATTTTGGCTTTCGGAATCCTGATTTCAGTTGTTAATATGTATTAGGGTGAGAGTCCTGGGGCCTGAATTTCACCACCCCCTGAGCTAATGGTCCTCTGGTCTTATAGCTCCGGATGGGTTACTGTTTAAGGAGAAGGGAAGACACTTTTATATACTCCTTTTTTTTACTGTGAAATCAATACGGAGTTGTCGTAAAATAATTGTTAATTACAAAAACTAAAGTCACAGATGATCCCACCTCCCCCAGTCAGCCCTTAGATGCTGTTTCCAGGACTTTTTCTATGTTGGTTTATACACCATGCTATCAAGTTGGAAACTCAGCTAGTTCCGGGGATCAGGCAGATATGGAAATGAGTGAGGGTGGGAAGTGGTGGGGAGTGGAGTGAGAAAGCAGAAGTAAGCTCCTCATCCTGATCGATTACTCACACGCGTGTGCTGGTGTGTGTAACACTTCCCAGAGCAATACTTACTCATCTGATACGTGGCGCTGAGCTAGAGAAGTGTGCTTTTTCTCTCAAGGGCGCTGGGGGCCTTTTCATCCTGGTTCGAGCCAAGTGGGAATGTGGGCTCAGTATTGCCAGATTTCTGGTTGTTCGAGAGAAGTCTCAAATATTCTTTTAAAGATTTTATTTATTCATTTTCTTCCCCCCAAAGCCCCAGCAGATAGTTGTATGTCATAGGTTCACATCCTTCTAGTTGCTGTACGTGGGACTCGGCCTCGCGCTGGACGGAGAAGTGGTGCCTTGGGGCGCGCCCAGGATCCGAACCCGGGCCGCCAGCATCAGAGCGCGCGCACTTGACCGCTAAGCCACGGGGCCGGCCCTCAAATATTCTTTTAAAGTGCCAGCTACCCGGGCCGGCCCCGTGGCTTAGCGGTTAAGTGCGTGCGCTCCGCTGCCGGCGGCCCGGGTTCGGATTCCGGGTGCGCACCGAGGCACCACTCCTCCAGCCATGCTGAGGCCGCGTCCCACATACAGCAACTAGAAGGATGTGCAGCTATGACAGACAACTATGTACTGGGGCTTTGGGGGAAAAATAAATAAATAAAATCTTTAAAAAAAAAAAAAAAAGTGCCAGCTACCCCAACTTTTACATATTGGCTCAAAAAAAAAATATATATATATATATAGTGCATCAAATTCATCTGTGACCTACTTGGTTCATGTCTACCATAGACTGTTTAGGGTTTCTTTTTTTTTTTTGGCTGAGGAAGATTAGCCCTGAGCTAACGTCTGTGCCCATCTGCCTCTACTTGATATGGGATGCTGCCAATGGCTGACAAGTGGTGTAGGTCCGTGCCTGGGATCTGAACCTGTGAACCCAGGCCACTGAAGCAGAGTGTGCCAGACTTAACCACTATGCCACGGGGCTGGCCCCTC